AAAGTTTATGTTTTTAAGCAACAAAGGACCAAGTTTGGTAACACATTTGGTTGACTAGAAGATAAAGAAACAGATACCCTCAGTGTAAATTTGTAGGATAAAAGCAAATAGATTTATAAAATTATAAAAAAAATACATCCTTGGCCCAGCTATTTCACTTCCAAGTATACATTCTATAAATGTACTTGCACACATGCAAAATGACTTATGTACAAATCTTTATAGCATTATCTGCATTAGGAAAACATTAGAAAAAACTGAAATGTCATTTAATAGGAAATTAGATTAAATTTTATCCCCTTTAAATATGACTAATATGAAAAAATCTTATTGATGTAACATTTTAAATTTAAAAAAGTATTAAACAAGATATATATTATATAGATGATATATAGCTAGACATAGATATAGATATAGATGATATAGATATAGATAAAGATAGAGATAAATAGTATTGCATATGTTGATATACATATAGGCTACATCTGGAAGAATACAAAGAAATGTGACCAGGTGGCAGAGAGGAAAGGGATAGAAAATTGCTTTTGTCTATGTCACTGTCCTCTCGCTATAGAAACACAACCTCAGTTGGACAAAGTTGGGTTTAATAATTCGAAGCAAGGAAGAAAAACACAAAACATGACAGAATAGGGATGTCTTAATAAGAAGTTGTAAGAAAGGACTTAAAGGACTTGGTCAGTGTTATGTGATTTTTAGGGAGATACCAAGAAATGTAGATTTACTCCTACTGGATGCTCTAAGGAACTGGTATAACTCTATGATTAGGAATCTTAATAATTCTTATCCACAAAGCAAGAAGAATAGAGCGAGTTTAAGATGTGTTTGGTGAAGAAGCAGCAGCCATGCATACAAGCCAGATAGAGAAATACTTGATCATTTTGTAGTTTGGACAATGTACTTGTTCTTGTTCTGTCTATGTTCAGACATGATTGCAGAGTGGTCTTGTTTTTGTCTTGATCCATAATATTCACAGCAGCCCTGTCTGATTTGGTGTTCTATGAAACTGCTTCTATTCAGCAGAAGCACACCTAAGCCTCTTGGGAGTGCCTCCCCAGCTACTGGCTCTCAGGGACTGTTTTGTTCTTTCTCAACTGTATATCCTTTTGTGCCTTTACAATTTTATACCATATACTTATCTTATCTATTCAAAATAATTTTTAAAATAATCTGAGAACTGAAGGAGACCTTAAAAGTCACTGAGTTCTGAGACTATCCCAACTCACACTGCCTTCTCCTCCTATAGCAAAAGGGTTTTCTTGAAAAACACTCCTATAGCTTCTGCTTGAATATCCCCAGTATTACTCTTATACTAATTTATCAGGCAGTTCATTCCACATCTAATGGCTTTAATATTTTTTTTTGTTCAGAAGAAAGAGAATAATGCTTTTCGTTATAGTATCTTAATTGTTTCAACCCAGCACGTTTGACCACTTCAAATGCATCTTCTCCTAGTGGAGCAGAATAATTACCTTTCTAATTTTATGTAAAATATTCCTATTAATACTCTCCAAACTGCAATTGTTGCTTTTTTTCTGTGTGCCAGTGTTCCAACACAGTTTTGTATCTTTTGTTATCATTACATTTGCAGAGATTCTTATCTGTTACTGCTGACAAACCCATTTGCTTTTGTACTCAATTACATGTAATTAGTCTTTTCTTCATGAACAAAAGAACAGGTGTCTTTATCTATTCTCTGCAAGATACTATGGTAAGGTTGGTTGGACCTAATAATGCCTAGTGAACCAAACAACACAATTCTGACAGATGCTCATAGTAACAAGATTTTTTTAAAACAATTAAATGCTTTTACTCCTGCCCACACAAAAGAAAGAAAAGGCATTTTTACATCTTAGAAGTTTATAATTTTCTATTAAAAATGAGTAGAACTTAAATCCTTCTCTAATGCTTTAAAACCCCACACAGAAAATATATTAATTAAAAATATTTGTTTACACCTGCAAATTTTTCAATAAAAATATTGGGAGGGGGGATCAGAAGAAAGTACATTAATCAAAACACTGGTGAAATCTGAATAAAGTCTATATAGCTCAGTTAATAGTATAGTACCAGTATTAATTTCCTGGTTTAGATCTTTGGACTTTTGTTACATAAAATGGTATCATTAGGGGAAGCTGGGTGTAGAGTGCAGAGGAATGCCCTGTAATACTGTGTAATTTTTCTAAAGTCTAAAATTATTTCAAAATAAAAAGTTAAAAAAATATTTGGGTGGATAGAATATTTAACCAATGATCTAGAGAAACTTGTGCACATATGCACAAGGAGACATTCATTCATTTGTTCCTTTTTTGTTGAGTACTTACTATCTATTAGAACGCATTCTAGGTTCTAAAGATACATCAAAGATCAAAACAAAATCTCTTCATTCATAGAACTTAAATTCTCTTGGGAGGAAAATCAAAAATAAACAAATAAACAGCAATAATATATATGTCAGGTGGTCATAGAAGATATAAATAGGAAAAAAAATGGGGTATCAGAATAAGGAAGGCTGAGGTGGGATGTGTAATTTTACAAAGGATGCTCTATCAGAAATATCTTGGAAGTACTGTTTGTAACTGCCTTAAAATGGAAATGATAATTATCTACCAAAAAGAGAATGAATAAATATATTTGGGTATTTTCATGCAATAGGATACTGTATAAAAATGAAAATGAATAATGTAAAGGAACTATATAACCATATATGCATCTCACAATCATAACACTGAGAAAAGGACAAAAAAATGTATATATAGTAATGCTCTCACTTATAAAACATTTAAAAACATGCAAAAGGATATTATGAATGATTTAAGTATACATATGTGAAAAAATGTATTTTTAAACTGCATGGAAATAAAAATGACACATTCAGGACAGTTATTATGTCTGGTACTGAAGAAATGCAGGACTCTATCAGAGCACACAGAAAGTATAAATGTACTGATATCTTTGACTGAATTTTAAGCCAGGGGTTAAATATCCAGATGGATTTATCATTATTCTGCACATCTAAACTACTTTTAATAGCAAAATATCAAAAATTATGTACAGTAGCATATTTTAATAAAAAAATAAGATATTTTAAACTTGTAAATTCAAAGTTTCTAAAAGTATTTGACAAAATGCATCACCCTTGATGTGTGTGTGTCATGCATAATGACACTATGCATTTAAATATGTGTTTTGTTATACATATATAAGTATATACATATAATGTATGGATGATATGTGGGTCATTGATCCGGCATCAGCAGAGAAAGCACTTTCAATTATTTTTCTAGAAACAGTAAAGGAAGGATTTGCGTTAGCTGACCACACACTTTCATCGCTACTGTTCTACCACTGCCCATGATAAATGTCATGTATCTGTCTGGGTTATACTTGCATCCTGTGGAGTTGATTACAGCTATTTGGCTTACTTGGGAATTGACTAGCTACATCAATTCATACTTTTTCAATCTTTTTCCTTTAAAGTGAGGTGGGTGGCGCTAATAGAGAATATTAATATTATCTCCAGCCACCTCATTTTATAGAAAAATAAACTGAGAACAAAGGATATCTCATAGATAGTAAGGGTGACACAGCTAAGCAATCTCCCTGATTCTTTCCATTCTACACTTGTTTGTAGCTTTACTAAATCCACATTCATATACAGATGCACTAGATGGAAATCCTGCATGGAGAGAAAACATCCTTATTCTTCTGTACTCAGAAAATGTAAATCATTTAAAGAATGCATTCCCACTAAAACAAATCAACAATGCAAACCACAATAAGCTAATCAACTACTTTGCAAGAAACTAGAATGACATTCTTTATAATGTTATCTTTTCTTTATTGTAATTCATATTTTGTAATGAGTAATATTAAGGAACAAAGAATAATTTAGAGGGGTTGGGCTAGAGCATTTTTATACTTAAGGGATTATAGATCTTTCTTCAAATCTTCATTTTCAATTGAAAAGATATTTCACCATAAACTATCAGGCTTCTTAGCCTGTCTTATGCAATCTACCATTTGATATACTGTCAATCTGATCACAAAATCATATCCATCAGAAGACAACTCAATTGGACATATATTTAATGAGGATTTACTATGCGCTTGACACTAAAGATATGGCAATGAATTCAGACATATTTTGGAAAAATATGGCACTGCATAATTTTGGAATAACAAATTTTCCTCAGTTTCTGTACATCATTAATCAGAAAATGAAAGATATGTTGAGAGTAATAATTCTTAGTACAGAGGTTGATATTTAAAATTTTTCTGAAATGTAAATATACTGTCATACCTTGATGATTTTCTTGGGTTATTAGCTTATAAATTCTATAGTTAAAAAGTACTTCCAGGAATATTATAAATAATATCTTAATATTTGACATTTTATATTAAAAATTATAAATAAAATTTTAGGTCTACTAATCTTTATTATCCTGTTATTATTATATATACACCACAAAGCAACATCATACTATTTTAAAATATTTCTCCTTTTAAATCAACAATTTCTTCCTCAATCAAAATAAAATAACATGTAGTATACATATGCATGTATTCAATGTTAACTTTCAGAAGTAATTTTAGTTTGCCAGAAATGATGTCTTGAGAATTATTTTAATGTTTTACTATTTAGTTCTAGGATGAAAACCCCTATCTTGTGCTAGGAGGTCTGCCTTGTTCCTACAAATACTTGTTTATCATCCTGACTACAAACACTGGAATGGAAGGATATTCTTGTCCTGTGACTTTCTGGAACTTCTTCAAGCTTCCTATCTTCTCATCTAGCATATAACCTTTCTCCCTTACTGTCACTTTGCTATAGGGAATCAAAACAGGAAAAACAAAGGAAAAGACACCAGCTACCTTGTAGTTAAGTAGTTCATAAGGCAGCCTAGCCATGTTTTAAGCCTACAATGCACTAGGCCATATATCTGACCGTAACTGGATTTCAAGGAGCTAATGTTCCTTACTGTAGTCACTGTTTTCGTCCTTGGTCCCGTCAATGGTACCATCTGGGTGCATCTGCAGGAAATATCCCTGCTGGCTGAATAACCTTGTCACAATTCCTTTCAGCTGGGGTTCTGCAAAACAAAATGAAATAATTATCCAAATCTTGTTTATAAAAATGCACACTTGCAAATCATCAGAAACATTCTCCAAGTAAACACGAAAATACCAATGGCTTAAATATTAAAATGAGTATTTGTAAAGGGGGAATTTCAGTAACCTATCTTCACATTTTTTTTTTCTTTCTAGAGGCAGAACCACAATACTGTGAGTAATAAACCAAATGTAAACATAAATAAAAGCTAATTATGATTAGAAAAATACAAAGGCATACTAAAAAGTAAATTATTTCTCTCTCTCATGCATCTAGTGTCTCACTGCAAGTTTATGGTTCCATTCCAGAATCACTGTTTAGAACAAACTGCCATTGTAATTCTTAAGCTTCCAGCAGTCATAATCAGTTCCTGGAAGACTTCTATTTCTGATAAATGTCGGCTACCCATCAGAAACTCCTGGGTTTTAAATTCTGGTCAAGTTTGGTCAGAAAGAATGGCTTAGATGAGAACCACAGGAAGAAGCAAAACCTATGTCCATGAGATGTCACTAAAAGTGTGTGGAAACATTTCACCTCCAGGAAATACCTCGCCAGAGAGCCCTAGTAATACAAACTCATTTTTTCCAGTATAAAAATAAATCAATTCATATCTATTTCTCTAATTATTCAATCTCGAAGTAGTCCTCAGCTTTTAAAAACTCCCTACCCACTAATACCATCACACTGAACTTTGTATATTACATTCAGATTTTTATATATCAGCTAACACAAATATTTAAAGCTTTCTCATTGTGGTGCTGGATGCTAGCAACAATTCATTTTCTACAACATCACAATTTTATCTCTACTTCAGTGTTAAGCAAAATTTAGACCATTCTAGCCCTAAACATTTCATAAGAATGAGGATAAAGAGGAAAATTCTTCTCATAATGAAAATTGAGGCAAAGATGAAAATCATGTGATTGTCGAAGTAGCAACATGTCACCCTCAAAATGACACAACTTCTGAATTTTAACGGACAATTTTATTCCTTCACTCATTTTTGTCATCTTGACTACAAACCAATATTCACTCTGAATCTCTTTCTTTGTTAGGCAATATGCTAGGTACTTATTTATATTTAGGTCTAAATAAGAATTTTAGTTAAGGATTCAATGCATTTAACTCTTTGGGAATAGACCTGCTCCCTATAACATATGTCTATGGTTAACCTTTTGCACATATGACTTGATCGCACATTTTCAGTAATATGAGGCAATGACTCTATAACCATGTCTTCCTCCAAGCAATCTTAAAAAGAAGAAAAGATGCCAAGAAAATTGGGAAATGAGGAACAAGGATTATGAAAAAAGAACTGAACTAAAAATTAGGCAATCTGATTAACTATATGTTATTTTTATGTGTTGAATTTGTGGGCCTTACTTTTCATATCAATAATATCTACAAGTTAACTATGTGAACTTCAGGTCCCTGAGAGTGCATGAGGAAAGCTTCTGGGGCACTGGCAATGAATTTCCATTGACTCTTGAGTACATCAGATCCTCTGCCCTGAGTGGTAGCAGACATCAAGGAATGGATTCCTCTTCAGTGCATTGCCTCCATGGGCCCACCCAACCTGACATACTAGGGATATGTTGGACAAGCACATAGCTAGCTAACCTCACTACAATAAGATATCTTGTATCCTTATTACCATTTATCAAACCTTATCAACTTTTTCAGGCTCAGTTCAAGATCACATTAAAAATGAGGATCACTTTTATAATCAGGGGTAATAACATGTGTGCTTCTGCCATGAGGCTAACTGATTGACTGGCAGGTCCTGTTGAATAACATATGTGCTTCTGCCATGAGGCTAACTGATTGACAAGCAGGTTCTCTGAGGCATACTCAGGTCTTGATATTTGGTCAGAAGACATAGCTTTGAACCACAATTCCTGTGTGGTCCTGGGCAAGTCATTTAACATCTGAGGCTCAGTTTTCATATCTGTATAATGGGAAAAAAATTTCTATGCTAACTATAATCACTGAGACTTTCAAATGAATAAATATATGTGATAGTATGAATTGAAAAAAACCATTAGAATATAATTCCTAATTAAGGTCTAACTTTTCAACCATGAAAATGGAGGAAACTGTCTTAAGTGAGGTAAAATCATTCTGTGAATAGACTCTATGTCTCCTGATTTGTTTTAATAGGACATTAATCGAGCTTACAAAGTCACTAAATTAAATAGCAGGTTAAAAGTAGAAGACAGAAAAAGATAGAAGAAAAGGGACAACTCTCTTATAATTCATATTTTCTTTCTAATCAGCTTGATAAGGTCACTTTAAGAAGTCCTGTTTTGGCTGGTAATGAGATGCATGGCAGCTGAGTCATTAATGCCTGCAAATGATTGTTTGTTTTTTCATGCTCCTCTTTTGTAGCTTTAATTAAACACTTCTTTTGCTATGGTGAAGCTATCCCACACTCCTCCTCATTGGGGCCCTGGGAATTCAGGTTGGTAACTCCTGTTCAAGATAATGAGCATCAGGCTTTCAAACTATCCCCTACTGCCCAAGAGCAGTGCCAGAACCAGCTCCGAGTCTGAGTTTTAATTATGTGACGATCTATGAAAGTGAATGTCTTGCACTATAGATGCTTCAAAGGAAACCTGACCATCTATTGAACAAATGTCCTGAACCTACGATGTGTCAGAGAAAGCAGTATCGCCTGCCTAACAAACCTGTACCCTTGTTACCATTTATTAAATCCTACCAACCTTTCCAGGCTCGGCTCAAGATCACCTTTTCTATGAAAGCTTGGTGATCATGATTGAGGATCACTTTTATAATTGGGGGAGGGGGCATGTTTTGTTGTATTTTTTTAAAAAGAGGGATAAAAAACGAGACTACTTTTTGGCACATCTATATCCTGGGTACATTTAGCAAACACACTTTTTATATGTCAGACAATGTATAGGGGTCTAACAGGTTAACAAAACCTGGCTGTCCTCAGGGACCACCCAGTGTAATGCATGAAACATATTTATATATAATACTAGTGTGGGGTAGCTGTTAAATGATGGACAGAAGTAGAATGACATGATGGCACCAAGGAGCAAGAGACTAATTCTGTGTCAAGGTTGGGTGAAAGCACCTCATCTGTCACCTGAAGAGTGAGAAATTTCATAAGTAAAAACAAAACAAAACGAAAAAATGGGGAAGGGCATTGCAGACATAAAAACAATAAATGGAGGCAAAAATCAGCATAGTAGACTATGGGAATGATACAGAGACTAGGACAGGCATAATATATCACAGAGGTTCTCAAATGCTGGCCTGCAGATAAGTGCCTGTTCTCAACAAATATTCATAGGTCAACAGTAAAACAAGAAAAATAGGGTCAATGAAATAAGTTTTTCATTAAGCTAATTTTAGTTCAATTTATATGATTCTCCTTGATTCTAAGATAACGTTTTTCCACTATTTTTTTCTTTTATTATGAATTGATGGCTATACTATTAGATGGGGAGGGGGGTGATTTATTACCTTTCATATTCTGAAGAAGTGTAGCAAATACTACTAGCTTTTCTCCCAAATTCATTTCCTCCTTTTTCTAGGCACCCAGCTAGACCATATGTCCTAGCCTCCCTTGCAGTTAGGTTTGGCAGATAAATGACTGTCATATGGAATGTAAGTGAAAGTTATGTGTGCCATTTTCAGGCCAAGGCTTTTAAAAGCAAACATTCTCCTCCACATTCTCTTTTCCTTAGCACTGGCTGGATTAAGATGACAGAGCCCTAGGGAATGTCAACAAAGAATCCTGGGCCCTCGAAAAACTGATGGAGAAAAGACAACAGCCATTATAAATACCTTTCTCTGACAGTTAGGTGAAGAAATAAACTTCCATTGGTTGTAGGTAGTGATTTTCTTCCTAAGAATACAATGTGAAAAGGGGGCGGGGGTGGAATTTTACAGTGGAGAAACCTGACAAATAAAATACTTCCCCAGTCAGGTGATCCAGGGTAACATCAACAGTCATAAATCGTGTTGATAATGTGTACCTTTCACATGATGCGATGAGAAAGGCACTTTACTTCTGTAATCTTCCTCCTTAAAACTCATAACCCTAGTTTAACATCAAATTCCTACTGAATGGTATTCTACAAAATAGCTGACTAGTACCCCTCAAAACTGTCAAGGTTATCTAAAATAAGAAAAGTCTGAGAACCGGTCACAGCCAAAGGAGACTAAGGAGACATGACAATGAAATATAATGTGGATATATTCTGGATGGAACCCTGGAACTGAACAAAAAATTGAGTAAAACCTGAGGTGATCTGAATGAAGTATGGACTTAACTTAATCATAATATATTGATACAAATTCATTACTTTACATAAATATACCAAACCAATGTAAGATGGTAATATGGAAAATGAAAACGGTGTAGGGTATAGAGGAATTCTGTGTACTATCCTAACTTTTCTGTAAATATAAAACCATCTGAAAATTAAAAAATTTATTAAAAATAATAATTACAGTCAAAAAAGCAAGTAAAAAATGTTATCCTTAAAGAGGATAGATGAGAAAGAAGGTAAAGAATAAGAACTCATGTTTAGCACTGCTGCCCTTTTTCAACATAATGGTTGAATTCAAAGCCACTTTAAAAAGCTGAGACCTGATGCAGCTATCCAGACATTCCTACTGGCTTAAAGTGTAGTGCTTTGTGGCAGCTACCTGGGTACACAATGTAAACCCAGAACATAGTTAGAATCATGGGAGCCTGATCATGCATCTCAGGGTGAATACTAGACTGTAGAACTTTAAAACTGGAAAGGATCTTGGAATCCAACATCTTCCTTCATCAAAATACTTCCTTCCTTCTTTGATATCAAAGATTTTTAAAAAGTAAAATTAAATAAACGCTAAGGCCCAAAGTGAGTGTCAAGACACAGCCAGTATCTCATGCAAGCTGGGGGTTGGGGGACAAGAAGGAAGAGAAGAGAGGACAAGGAGGGAGAGGAGCACCTTGTC